CAGGAAAAAGAAAAAGCTCCTCTGGCTGGTTTTTGCTGGGACAGGCTGTGCTGGACTGGGCGCCCTCCAGAGCCTCCCGCTCCATGAGACTCTTAAGCTGACGCATCGGTGTTAAGAACCCAAATGAAACTGACAGGTATGTCCACTTACACTTTTACAGCTGAAGTGCAAAACTGCTCGTACAACAAAGATGATTGCAGTGGTTTTTACACTGGATGGTTGTAAACAACATGTTTAAGTTCACTGCTCCACTATCACATGATGACATTGCATCAAAAACATGCATTCTCATGCTCTGTGCATTTCTCTAAACTGAAAAGGAATCGATCTACAAAGTTGTTAACCAGATGATGCATTTAAGGATACAATGCGCTGGTCATGGTGTGCCCACTTCTGTTTCAGATAATCAATGAGACTGGAGACTTTCCTGTGAAGCTCCACCACCATCCTGAGTTGGAAAAGACACAAAAAGATAGTTGTTGATTTATAAGCTGCTGCAGTAAGATGTGTTGAACAGCACTGGGCCAAGTTGAATTTTATGCTCCTAACATATACACTGCTTGATGACACATTCATGTAAACTCCACCATCTGAAAACTGGGAGTCAGCTGCCAAAAAGCATTGCACTGATAAACTGTGCTGTCGAAAGATTGATCCAGAACATGACGACAAACAGGAATGTTGTGTAAAGAATAATACAATTATCCTTTCTTACATTATAAAGTATCTGAGACAAATGTCAGATGATGAATGAGGTCATTTAAAAGCAGTGTCTGCTTGTGACAGCATTATGACCTGAAAATAACAAATTTGGCCAAACAAAGTGGACTAAATGGATTTAGCAAATGTAATTCCTTAACCTCTAGAGTCCTGAGCTTTGGAAACCCAAGCTGTGCGGTCCTCATATGAGGACCGCACAGCTTGGGTTTCCAAAGCTCAGGACTCTAGAGGTTATAGAAAAATCTTGTGATATTTTATGGTATAAGCAGTTGAAAATATTTTGCTGCTTAATTCCTCTCAGACACTAGTTAATGAGTGTGCCTGACCTGAGCCGAGGGTTGTGGGCTAGACTTTGAACACGGGCCCAGGAATGGTTACTGCGTGGCTGAAGCTCAACTGCCACCTTCAGAGGTAATCGCACTGGCTTCTGGTCCTCTTCATCACTCACTCCTACCGAGACACAAAGATGCTGTAGAACTGACCGAGACAATGACAAAGCTGTTTTCTGAGGCAAGGTCGTGTGTTTTTAAAGAGGAAGAAAAGCATTCAGATAAAAAAAAAAAAAAAAAAAGGTTTCTCTAACTTTGGTACATGGATGTTCGTGAACAGAATACCAGTCATGTCCATCATCACCCTCCTGCTCCTCTTCCTCACTTTGCTCCCACAGAGTTACCATAGAAATGTCGCTATCCCACAGGCTACCATTGTTATTGCCATATAGCTCCACCCCCACAAACCCTGTGCTTCAACATTGCCATGTTTTGCATTTTTAGACGTGCATTTACTTTTTATGTATAGTATATGTTGGTTGTCTGTGCATGCACAAGCTCACCATCTGGGTCACAAAGTTTCTTCAGTGCACGGCACATGGGCGCTTTGATTCGTAGGTTCCTCCCTTTAGAGCGCACAGTGGTGGCCCTGGTCGAGCAGACAGAACAGGAGAGAAAGAGTCAGTGTTTTTAGATGCCAACTTTTCTGGATCACATTACACCTTTCAATGGAGAAGACAACTAACTGTGCAGCTGAACATCTGCTCATGGAATAGACTAAATAACAAAAACATTGTACATGCCATAATTTCACCATATTCCAAAATGTTTCCTTCGGGTGATTAGTGGTCTAGTTGTGATAAGTGTTCCTGCTGCTAATGCACTTCTTTTTTTATTTGGAGTAAATCACTATGACCTCAGACTGGTCTCTCACACTGAGGGTGATAACTTATGTGTTTCTAGATGTGATATAGAACTTAAAAAGAAAAACTGCATAACAATCCCAGATGTGTGCATTTAAACAGATCTTTTGCCATTGTATATGTTAAATAACACAAACAGTTAAACTAGACTATGTATTTTATCAATTCTACTACTAACTTACCCCTGCTGGATGAGTTCGTTCAGCTTTGCCACATTCTTATCATCCATTACTGTCAAAAGAAAAAAAAAACAAAGCTAGAGAGCTGTTTGTGACATCATCCCTCAGGAGCAGATGTCCCCACATGACCATGAGCATAGAGTGTTTAATCACATCCCTTGTGTCCCAAACTAAGAACAGGAACACACTCATGCACAAACAACCTTTAAAAAGACATGCATTCGAAACATGTCTAAGCCTTCACTTACATCCTCCAACTTTTTTGCGGAGCTCAGCGTAGCAGATGAGACCATACAGTTCTTGAGAGGATTTCTTCAGCACTCGGGAGTACACTGAGAAGAAAAGGGGGCACAAGTCACAACACTGCTGTAACCAGCAATGCATGAGGCGTGTGTGTTACATAAAGATAAAACACAGTGATCCTAAGGGATTTCTGAAAGGTAAAGGGGTTCCAGTTTATGTCTCGCTGCCTAAGACAGACCTACAGTACATAAACAATTTCAATCCCCAGGACACATACCACTGCCATGCTAACTTTCCTGGTAGCTCTAACAGACATACAGAATAAGTGAGACAAGATAAAATACTGTGTAAGCTGCACATAAATGTTGGAGCTCCAACTTAAAATAAATAAATAAATACTGTGTATTAAACTGTATTTGACTATATTAACATCAAACTAGTCCCACTTGTTGCTGGGTGACAAAGATTTTGGGCAGCTCACCATTGGCAAAGTCAATGTGTTTGGAGATCTTGTGCCAGGTGCGGTAGTAAAAGTGGCGGACTTGCTCCTTGTTCTTCACCATGTTGGCTGGCTTGCCTCTCTTCTTGTACTTCATTGCAATGTTGTTCTGGATAGCCTCAAAATCTTTCCCATGCTAGAAATGAGAGGAACAGAGGAGAGTATGAAATGTGAAAAGACACACGAAAAGATGTTTTACTTTAAAATGTCCTGTGATACATAATACAGTATAACTGGCAACAATTTAGGTCATAGTTTGTGCCACATAAGATAGTACTCATTTATCATTTACTGTAAAACTATTTGGCACTGTCTACTTGGTTCTACTCTTACCTCATAGAGCCCCTCAAAGAAGCTGTTTTTGTCTTCTGCACTCCAAGACTCCCACTGCCGACGGGCCCTTTTCTGGTTACCAGCTTGCTCCTCTTTCTCAGCACACCCTTGGCCCTTGGAGGACTTAGACACTCCCCCTGTGGAGCCGACCATAGGCCCTGACTGTCCCACTGCCCCTTGGGAGGAAGAACCAATCTCAGCCCCTGTGGTAGACAGAGCGAGCCCACAAACTCAATGCTCATGAAAACATGCAGAGGAAAAACAACTTAAATATTACAGTAAAAAAAAATGTCAAGATTAGTACAAATGTTTGCTTGACCACCCCGGCTGTTTTTATAGCATGGAAATAAAAATACAATTGTAGTTCTGAGGTGTGGGATTTGGGAGAGGTAACACAAAGCCACCCACTGCCAATACAGCGCACAACCTGCAGAGCTTCTCCTTCTGTGGTTCAGCTTTGGCAAGGAGGCAGGGAAAGCAATCAGTCCCTACAGCTAGGTCTGAAGTACGCACGTCCAAAACCAACTCGTTGTGGGCTCCAATGGCCAAGTTTACCCCAGAACACAACGCAATGCCAGGAGACATTAACACGAACACCAAGACAGTTGCTTCTGCAGCACTGTGCTGTGTTAAGGCAGCTGTATTTTCAGGCAAACAGGTGTTCATTTACAAGTGCAAATGTGTATCTGGCTCATAGACGGTAGCGTAGGCGTCTATCAAAAAAGATGTGCATCAATACCACATCATATCAAATAAGTAGGGCTTCCTTGGTCAACTGATCAAAACTTGGGCAATCTAAATATATCTGATGAAACAATCAGTGTATCTTTTTCACAGCTGCGAAAGGAACCCACAGGTCATACCTGTCAGAGTACACTAATTCACCAACATACTTCTGTCTGATTCAAGTCCAAGCAATTCTTAGAAGAAAAACTCAAATATTGCTGTTGCAGAGAAGTGCAATTATACACAAAAAAAAGGCAAATACAAAATCCTCCAGAAAGGAAGATTTAGGCTACAGTGACAGGCTCCCAGCCCAGGTGAACAGAAACCACCTCAGTAATGTAACTTTCAATTGTACTGTCCCGCCTTTCTTTGCCTTTCGTGACACTGGTCATATACGAGGAACCAGAAGGTGTTCAAGAAACAAGACTGCATTCAATTAGTATTAAGCATGATAATGCATAATCAACAAGGTAATTCTTTAGTGTATTCAAAAAGTGAGTGAATTCCATTGCTCAGACACCTCAGTATTACAAAGTCAATTCACCACTGACACTGCAAGTTACTACAGAGCTGGGCATAAGTCAGATTTGCAAAAGACAACCAGTAGAGCACCAGAACAATTACAATTTGTATCTGAGGTTGACTAAAATGAGAATGCACCACTGAAGCATGTTGTTTGTTTATTTACTATTGTTTGTTGTATCATGTGCATCTGAAAATAGTGGATCAGTAGGTCAGTTAAAGTGTTGTCTGAAGGCATAAAAGTCATCCTGTTCTTTTTTTCTATTCCCAAAAAATGCAATAACAAAAGGAAACTTAAGCAAGAACCTTTCATACTGAAGTCCTGCGTTTAATTTCCCCTACACTACCTTGATATTGTGTTTTTAAAGTTTCTTAGAAATTTTGACTAAAATAATCAAATGACATCATAATTTAAATTTGATCTCTCTACCTTTTCACAGAACTGTTAGGATGGTGTTGCAACTGGTGCTGGAGCTACCAGAAGTCTACCCTGCCTACAACTCTACCAGTAGTCCAGAGGGAATACAGCAACTAAAACATCATCAGTTAAGCCATAACAAATAAACAGGAGGAGACACCCTGCTAATTCCACCTACACACATTCTTAACTGAATTGGTCACGGTACCTTTCGATTTTGCCCCGCCATGTCCATTGATGGTTGAGCCGATTGAATCCTTCCGGATACGTTTACTCGGAGGTCGAACGCTTGATCGGAGAAAATGATGCTGGTCGTGACACGGGGGGGCGGGCTCCGCTGAGCTCTGGGGCTGCTGGCTCGAGGCTGGACCGGTTCGGTTCGGTGGAGAGGCAGGGAGGACTGGGGCTAGACCGACGCTGAGACCCGTGGCTGATGGATTAAGAATTTCCACTCCGTCGTCTCCCTTTGTACTGCGCTCCTCGCTCGCCTGCTCTCCGCTCTCCTCCTCGTCGCAACCTTCGGGCTTTCTGGACGGATTCCTCTTCCCATCGACACCGATCCCCTCCCTGGAGCCCGGTGTCATACTGCCAAAACACAATCGGAGAAAATTTGTCATATTAGGAGCAAAGCTGTGTGCAAAATTAACTTCTAAACACGACGTTCACTGTCTCTCAACATGGCCGCCGCCGCTGTTTGTTTCAAATCCCCTCTCCAGTCCCGACAAAACAACACCAAATATATGCATTTAATGTCTTGAGATAAATTATATTCAACAACCAAAAGAGTTTAGTAACTGACGGCAGTGTTTTACCAAGTGTCTTTAGGCTCCGAAGGGAAATATTTCAGGCTGAATTTCAACTAAATTCAAATGCGAGCGCTTTTCAGTTTAGCGCCCTGCAGAAACGACAACGAAAATACCTCGGTGCATTAGACCTCTAAATAAAGTGTTAATTTCAAATATAATTTTACCCATTTTCGTACTCTTCGGTAGTAGGCGAGGTTTTCTTTCTCTTCACCATGGGTCCGACCGGTTATATTGGCAATTACTGATCAAATTGAGCATAATAAAACCCAGACGGATCTCTCTGCTTTCTGCCCTCTCCTTGCTCCAGCTTCCACTGAGCTGAACTCTGCGCAGTTCAACTGTTTTCTATCAGCAACAACATTACTCAATGCTTCTTTGCAACAAGAAATAAAACTATAAAACCAATTACAACTGTAAGATATTGACTCTATGCACTGAATAATTTACAGTGACACATGTCATGTGAGCTCGTGTGAATTGATAAGCATAGGTAGTTTTAATAACCCGTGTGCAAGTGGACTTTGCTTGTCACTACGTCACCATTGCCTGCAGAAATTGTCTGCAAAACAATGTATTTCATGTACATCCTGCAACTGTAAGGCTTTGAGACAACACTCTATTTTCTAACACTACTATGAGCTCATACAAAAAACGAATCAACGAGTCAATATCAGAACCAGGTTTATGTGAAAGCTGCACATCACGATGGTGTATTACATCTGTAAAATTGTGTTACAACTTAATGTGTAAACATCACAAAATTCATAATGTACTTGTTCGATTGTTACCCACTAAATGGTTTATTTCTGAAGAATCAGGAGGATGGTAACACAAATGGACGACAGCAATAAACAGCTAAACAACAAAGAGTAACTGGACAAGAGTATCTCGAGTCGTTTTCAGACTAGGGACATTTTCAGACTAGGAAAATCTTTTTCTTTCAAATCCCTGATTTGTGTCACCTAAACGCTACTTCTTAGACAACTTCAACCAGCTACAAAAGATAACTGACAGCCTTTACAGCCCGAAATTACTAATTGGTCATGTTACTTTTACAGTGTTGTAAGTTAGTAAATTAATGTTTACCTGCGCTCCTCAGACCATAAATCTTAAAGTTATTGTAAAATTGATGGTCTGATGAAACGTTAATGTAACTTATATTCTGTTTAAAAATATTGTTTTCCATTGTAATGAGGCTATCTAAAATGTACCGACAACACATCTAGATATATTACACAGTTACAGTACCGGTCCTGAAAGCAAAACCTTAGTGATGTTAGCAGTCTAACCGCGGATCTGATACTTGTCCTCAAGGTTAACGTTGCTTTAGAAATGCATTGTGGTATAGGTTAGTTATTTACAGCTGTCGTTAACTTTGTGTAACAAGCAGTTCAACGTGTCCCCCAATACATAACGTGGCTCCTAGCATAGCTGCTGTCGTTGGCTAGCTAACGTTAACGTTATGGTAGTCAAACAAGCCAGAGCGCTAAAAAAAACAGCTTGTAGCATAATACTTATTTTATGCAAAGCCTCAAACTGTTTGTTAGACTGATAGCATTGTCAAACTATAAGCATTACCTGAAGTGGAAGCCTGTTGTTGATATGTTCAATCGTCAAACAGACTAGCATTGCTAGCTCACAGAAAACCTCCTACTTGCTACCACTGACAGTTCCGACTGATCGATTGTCCACGCGCTTTGGCACGCCCACTACAAATCGAAAACAAAGCCTATGATTGGTCAGAAATACACAAAGAGACGTTAGGTTTGACTGACAGCTGCCTCAGCCAATTGCCAGTGAGAAAAACCCTACGTCGGACCAATTCCTATTCTTTTCCTGTCATGCCTAATAGGTTTCCCGAAAGTCATGATCAAAATTCAAAACCAGTTTGACACTTCAATAATCTAAGGCTTTTGCTGAGTAAATAAGCGTTATTTCCGCGAGATTGGATCACCGCAATGGAGTTTCTGGCATTCTAAAAAAAAAATATGCCCCGCCCCAAAATTGATTGACATTTTGAAGACCCAAGCAATAGGAGGAACTAATAGGGTACACTTGAATTTTTCATGGCGTACGCCGAAAATACCCCGGTTGAGCGGATTCAGAATTTGATATTTATGACATACAAAAACACTGACATGGTTCCAACGCGTAGGCTATAAAGCACACAGAATACAGCACAAGAAGATTTTATTGCAATAGCATCTGATATTTATTTGACATGCTATCTCAAGACTCATCCCATGTTACTCTTGTCCTGGCTAAACGCCCCGACAAAAAAAAACAAGTATCACAAATCTGGGTTAAATAACGGGTGCGGTTGTTTAATGTTTGTATGACAAAGCAGCAGGGTGGAGCTTTCAGCTTTTCTACATAAGACATGTTAAAACAAATCACATATATTCAGCAGATGTATACATCACACGTTGCTGTTGTGAACAATGACTAGGTTTACCTCAAAAGAGTTCTACCCACTGGATTACGTAGTCAGTCTTATCTGGAGGGATGCCGGGTACACTGAAACGACCGTACCTCTTCACTCAGCAGCTTGGCAGAGGGCCAGTTATTCTTGGGTGGACTGAAATTGCTCACTACGGAGTTTTGTTGAGCACACGCAGGCAGGAGGAACTTAATGGTCGTCTAGTTGGCTAACTAGAGAAGTTATCTTCGGAAACTCAAACCAAAACCATCATGACTTCAACTAACATGTTTCAAGGGTTGGATGATGCTGCAAAAACCAGTTCTAGGTGAATCATATAATATTTATAGTCATGTAGTTGTTATTGTGAACGAAATGTCAAACTGTGTCTTATTTCGACCGTATGTAGCCGCTCTATCAGCTAGTAGGTTATTTCAATGTAACGTTAGGTTAACATTATTTGACGGGAGCTCTTTGTTGTTTTTGCACCATCACTTTTTCTACTAATGCCCTCACACATAGTGCTAGCACTAAGCCAAATATGTGTGCTCACTCAAGTTGCGCTAGCTTGATTTGATGTGTCTTCCGTTAGCAAACTTAAGAGTTGAGAATTAGCTTTGAAGCTAACAACCAGGCGTTGTCTGCTGCGCCTGCGGAAGTGTGAAAGCCCTTTCTGTTCTTTGTAGTCGCCAGCAGCCTCGTTATCGTGTCTTCTGGCAGTAATTAGCTACGTGTGAAATGATAACGTACAATTAAACAGAGTTTTCACACGTATGGCACCGTTCCTGGGTATGTAACTAAGTTAAATAACCTTTGGCTGCGTCTGCTTAGGCTGTCTTCTGTAGTGTAACGTTAACATATACCCTGGTTAAGAGTTGCCTGCTGTTTTCCACCTGTCTTCTTTATGTGCCACGTTACAAAAGCTCGTGTTTACAGTAATCACTGAACCTTCGTGTCACCAAGACATTATAAACCGTGTCCATGTTTACTTTTGGCAATAATGAACCCATCTTCTGATAACTGTATACACTGTAATAATTCAACATGATGATAATAATAATGCACATTAACATGTATAATTTAATAAGGTTATGCCTGAGTAAAAATCTATTTCAGTTTGAAGTCTGTCATTGCCATACTTGTATAAGGTAATTCATACTAATGAGGATTCTTTGCAAGTTGTACTAAAATCCTTCATCTTTCTCCAGGGTGTTGCAGCCTCCTGGAGGTGGTTCCAGTAACCTGTTTGGTGGCTATGAAGACAATTCTGCATCACCAAGAAGATCTGGCAAGATGGCTTCTGATATTTTTGGTCCACCAGAGGCTGCTCAGAATGTACCCAGGCGCTCCAATCCTCCAGGTCAGACCAGCCTGTCTGGGCTAATGGATGTGCTAAGGCAGGCCAGTCAAAGCATCTATCAATGTCCAGGGTGTGAAAATTGTTACTATAATGTCACAATTCCTGTATGAACACTTTTATTGTTCTCTGTGCTTGACTGTATTCCACCTCCAGATTTTGTTAAGTACCTGTTACTGTCAAATATATTTTCAGCCCTGTCTGCTGTTGAAATATGTTCTAGGTTTCCAGGCAGACAAAGATTGCAGGGACACAGGCAGCCAGTTTTATATGACAGGCTGTGGCCTTTAGCATCCCTAAAATCCTAAGAGATTTGCTGCCACTGTAGTATGTGTATAGTATATGAGACAATATTTTGCTTATGTGACAACATCATTGGTTAATATTTTAAATAGGTGGGAAGAGCAGTGGAATATTCGGGGATCCTGATCATCCAGCTCAACCACAGAGAACTGTACCTCCAGGTGGACAGGCCAGCAACATATTTGGGGCTGCAGAAAGTGCACCTACCCAAAGCTCAAGCCGAGGTCATCCAAATAAGCCAAAGGTAGGCCACGCAACTTTGACTATGCTTGAATAATTTTTTTAAATTCATTTTCATTTCATTTCACTCTTGACAATAAAACACCAGCTAGTGAGCCTTCAAAGGAATGCTTCACCCTAAATTAAAAATGCATTAACTGTCTCTTCATTGTTAGGATCCAAATTTTTCATTCATTATGTCATTGATCTTACATTTAACCTCGTTCAGGAGCACATCCGCTGTGTCACCTTCTATCAAGCAGTTTTCTTCATGGATCAATAGTGTTTTGCAGCAAGAACCACTGTTGCAATGGGCTGCAGAGTCCATTGCAGCATCGTTAGTAAGGACAGAAATAAATTCCAAATGACCACTTGAAATAGTTACAGGTTATTTACCTGTTTTCTGTAAACATGCTGTTGGTGTCAGTTTTTGTATTCTGTACAGCTTTCTGCACTCTTGGAAAGCACAGAAGAAGCATGTAAACATACTTGGTAAAATGTTTTTATAAAGACTTTGGACATGGATTCTGCAGCTGTATGTTACTGTGCTTGGTTTCACTTGCAGGCCTTTTTACTGGCAGAGTAGGGGACCTTCTTAACAGTATCACCAATATCAACATTATTTATGATAACTGTTTCTCACTAAAGCTCTTTAGAGTGGACCCTTGGTCATGGAAATTGCACTGATTTGCAGAATTTGCACTGTTGCTTTAGCCTGAATTGGACCCATCTCCAATCTTCCAATCTGTTTTTTTTTTTTGTTTTTTTTTATACAGGACAATCTAATTGTTGGACCTGAACCTGAACCTGAACCTGAACCACCAGGTGAGTTTGTGGAACAGATAATGCCCATGTGAAGTCTTTTGGAAGATTTCTGAAAAATGCTGAATCATATTAGTCACTGTTTCATTTAAAGAGCCTCTATTAATAGAGCGGTCTTGCCCATTTCCCTTTTCTCTTGGTCCTCCTGTTCATATCATGGTGAATTTAATACTAAACTTTGTATGTCTTTAGTTAAAGATAAAATATGTGATATTTAGACTGTAAGTGCTTAGCTAAAGCTCAATTTAAACTTCTATGTAAAGGAGTTATGCTATGGCAGCACAACACAAATCTTAAAGAATAAATTCAACTGCAAGTGTGCTGCTCTTTGTGACCTTTGCCATCTCACAGTGAATGAAACAAGCGTGTTTGTTCAGTAACAAGACAAGGGGCACTCTCCCACCATCCATCATATTACGACATGAAAGAAAAGCAGTAAACACAGTTACTGGGGGGAATATGATACATCCATGTTACGCTGGTCATCACCAGGTGAAATTTGATGCCACGTTTTCTATAGCAAGGCTGTTGTTAGCCTCTTGTTTGAAGCATAAAATTGGCTTCAGTAACTATAAAGTGCATGTACCAGCTCCATACCAGTATATCATTAACTCCACACTCTAACTTTATTAATTCCACTTGAATCTCAAATGTGATTTCCTTAATGCATTTAAGGTGGAAATGTCTTAAATTTTAGGCTACAATTCTCTGAAACACTTTTCCTCTATCCTCAAGCTCCTGAAGCCAAGGTCAGCCATCCTGAGGTGAAGCAAGAAACTGCTCCCCCAGCTCCCATGCCAGCTAAGGAAGAACCTGTTGCAATCTCACCCCCTCCAGTGCCTGAGCCCTCTTCTCCATCACCTCCTGATGAGACTTCATTGAAGAACCACGAGCCTCACCTGGGACCCAGGCCTCGTTCTCACAACAGGGTTCTCAACCCACCTGGAGGAAAGTCTAGTGTGGTATTCTACTGATGATCTGAACACACCACTCGTCCCTGTTTGTGTCCATACACTCTCTGTCTGCTCCCCTGTTAATCTTCTCTCATTCCAGCACCCCTCTCTCCACGATTATTTCACGTCTACATCTAAATAGACCAGGAATTTTTGTTCTTCCCATCATATTCCTGCACTTTTAGTCCTCTTTCCAGCTCCCAGCTTTTTGTCCAAATCTTCATTTTCTTCTTCACTGAAACCTGCAATCATACACTCACCATCCAATCAATCTGTACTGCTGTTCAATCTCAGTACTGTGGTAAATGTATTCACTGCTTCTGTTTACAAGCATGTCTAAATTTAGTTGGAGGCACGGTTTGTTATTTTAAAAACGGGTTTCAAGACACATTTAGATGTTGAAAGGAGCTTTAAATAGTTGTGCATTCAAATGATCTACTGTGACTAAAATCCTCACAGCAGAAAATTGCTCAGATTTCTTTGTAAGCTACATTGTTCATAGACAGGAGAAGATACCTAGATCTTGCAAACAATGAAAATGTTTTTTTTGTTTTTTTTTTAATATATATATGTATATGCTGCCTAATCCTTATTGGATGACTACATGAAACCTCTTGTTTGGCAGTTATTGAATATAATGCAAGTGTTGGACAATGACTAATGGCAGTATAATCAGAAGCCTTTATATGAGCTGAGCATTCTTTCTGGCCTTGTCCCTGATTTAATCACATCTACATCAGTGATCTGCTGTCAGAGCACACACTCGGTTCAGGGAGAGATACCAAAAATTGACCTTGAAACAAAGATGGATGAATGCACTTATTTAATCCCAGATGTTTCTGCTTCCTAAAAGAAAATTCCATTCTGATTTAATGTGAATGTATTGTCCAGGTACTTTCTGCTTTGTCCTCATTGCTTTATCTGAGAACATGCCTTTTTTTTTGCTTGGGGTAGACCTCTGTTTATGTTTTAAATTAAAACGGCTGAAGACAAGTGAACTCTGGACACACGCGTGGCCTGCCTGAGTCCATGTGGGCTCATTGATAATCACCTTTTCACCCACTTCATGATGCACATTTGTGGTATTCTGGTGCCAGCCTGTCCCCTGCGTGTTGGTGTGCCTGGCAGGCAATGAGTGTAGCAGAAGACAGAAATCCTGTGTATTGCAATAAACTGTTATTTTGCATTTTGAGTTTGTTTGTTTGTTTTTCCAAAAATACCGAGATAACACTTTGCAGAGTATTAGAGATTCAGTAGCAGCTATTAAAGAGGATGGAGTTAGTGAAATGTTTGTTACACTGATGCTTTGGTGTAGCTGTGTTCATTGGCAGCACTCTATGCAAGCAACTTGTTCTATATTACTTTTGCTCCACCTCAACACTGTGCATCCTGTGACTCATTAGCAGAAGGCGAACACATCAGAAGCTGAGAAATCCTCTTTCTCCAGGGAGTTTAACTTCTGCCCAGAATCTCTGAGAAAGTTCAGTACAAAGCCTCGTACTGTGCTTATTTCAGTTAAAACTGTTTATATCATATTAACGGATGTTTTCTACACAACATTCAAGGTTGTGACATCTTTCATGTCTGTTGTAATGTCTTTACGTAGGCAATAAGGAGTCATGATGTCTTAAATACAGTTTAGATAAGACCCCGCCAAACCTTGGTGTGACAGTGATCAAGTAAATTCAATGAGAAAAGATTTTTCTAATCTGTTTTACTGCTCCAACCAGCCTAAGTTTGTTTTGTCTACTCTGGCGTAATACCAAGCAGTAGCCATAAAGCCAGTATGGTTTGTGGGTTTCCAAGGACCATCCACCTTCTGTGTAAGTCACAAGAAAACTAATGGGTGGTGTGATATTTAAATACTAACATTTCACTGCCACCTACTGAAAGAAACAAGGAAGTTCACCTGAAGATTTCTGCTGACTTAAAGGATACCAACTGACAATAGGACATGTAGTTCACAGATTTTTGGTTTTCATTAATTAAATTACATAGCTGATGCACAAGGCTTGAAGACTTGCTGATATGTATAATATAAATTAATACTGGTTTCTTGCTCTCAACTGTCATGTGAGGTTTTGTAAGTTAGACCTCATTACAGGTCTATGACTGAAGCCCAGAGAGTCGATGTGACCTGTTGTGTTCAGTCAGTTTAGCGCAACAAGTCTGAAAAGATAAAATATGATGCTGATGTTTTCATGGTTTTATTTTATCTGCATAAATTGACCATTTATGTCATGTATAGGTTGAAATACTCCAGTGAGTGGATTGTTAAAGGTGCAGTGGTTTCATCATAGTACACAACACATTTTTGGCTGAAGTTTTTTTTCTATTTTTACATTTTGATGTGATATTTAGTTGAAGAGGTTCGTTGAATATGTTGGTAGTTAAGATGTATTTGACATAGGAGCTGTATGCCCTTTTGTCAGTGCATTTATTATGCTTCATTGACTCTCCTTGTCTCCATTGCAAATCCTCCCAACTAGAAAAGAGAGCCCAAGTTACACTTGTCTCACAGAAGGGAACCTGAAGTGAAAGATATTTGCTTTCAAGCACTTCCCTTCTATAACATTTTATTGTCTGGCAGTGATTTTTGCATGTTTTGTGTGCATGTGTGGTCCTGTCTGGGCAGTTCTGTAACTAACTTTTTTCATATATTAAGATGTTGTTTTTTTCAGGCATCGATTCTGATCCCTTAATGATGATTTTACAGTTTTTCTTTATCGCTTTCATTCATTTCTCACAACAGAACTGCATTTCTCAGAACTACTCGTTCAACCGTCAGATTCTGTTGTCAGTTGTTCACATCATATCAGCAATTTCTTGTTGTTTCCATCAAATTGCAATTGCTTTTGGACAACATGCAAGTGGTTCTGTACATCTGTCAGCTGTTTTGGACAGTTCTTGTTGCTTTTGTCCAGCTGTGCAAAATAACTTGTCCTGGTTCTCAGCTGAAATGTCACAACCACCAAACCAATTAGTCTTTTTTTCAGGTTGGAAGTCTGTACTATCAAAATGAGTGAACATGTTCTCAGAATTGTATGTCTGTACAGATTTCTACAAAGTGTGAGTAGATGTTTGCTAAGAAATATGTCCAGAATTGAGAAATTGCTCTCAGGTGAGTTTTCACCTTCGTTAACGAAGAGAACCACCTCACAACTTCATATACTTGGATGAGGCTGGCTTCAACCTGGCCAAAGGCAGAAGGCGTGGTAGAAATCTAATCGGCCAGAGAGCTACTGTTGATGTCCCAGGCCAACGGGGAGGAAACATCACTATGTGTGCTGCTATGTCAGACCAAGGTGTGCTAGCTCATATTCCTATTATGGGACCGTACAACACACAGCATCTCCTTACATTCTTAGACAATCTCTATAGAAATGTCATTCCTGAAGAGGAGAGGGACCTCAATCAAGATGATGTACCAAAGTATGTAGTAATTTGTGATAATGTCAGTTTCCATCGCTCTGACAACATCAGGCAGTGGTTTGTCCACCACCGCAGGATGCTGATTGAATTCCTTCCACCCTACTCCCCATTCCTGAACCCAATTGAAGAGTTTTTCTCGGCTTGGCGGTGGAA